CCGCCGCCATTCCCTCACGGTGCCGGTGTGTGCTCACTGCCCCGCAGCCATTCCCTCACGGTGCCGGTGTGTGCTCCCTGCCCCGCAGCCATTCCCTCACGGTGCCGGTGTGTGCTCCCTGCCCCGCAGCCATTCCCTCATCCCCTCCCCTCAGGGCGTTTGTGCCCCTGCCCGCCTGCCCCCGTGATTTTGGGAGCTCTTCCCACCCCGAACGGAGGCTGCTGAAGTATCCGAGGCGGAAGGGAGAATGTGGAGGAGGAGAGGAAACTCTTAAATGGATAATTTAGAAATGAAGAGGTTAATACCTCATACTCTCTGTTTAATGCTGCTTGTAAATCTAACTGAAACAACACGTATCAGCAGGTGGTAATGTCATAAATAAACAATGTTTATTGTTCAGCTGATTGTAAGTTACTTTCTCTTTTAAATAAAGCAAAATACTCGGAATTTTTGGCTCGCAGAGGATGACGTTTCTCACAGAGTTTCAAAATTTGGCAGTGACCTATATAGCTGCATTTGTAATTATAGGGTTAGTCATGATCATAGGACCTATTAAATAGTATGAAATGCACCCACAAAAAGGTGTTCCTTTGTCTAGGATAGTGAATCTTTAAAGTTTGAAAAACTAAAATCTGATGACCAAATTGTGTTTTTTCTTTATACTCTGCAGGTAGTGTAGATGGTATTTGGTAGGTGACTTAATTTTGAACACTGTTATGGCTAAATTTAGGGAAATATGTCTAGTTACATGGTAGAGTGGAAGTGAATCTAGGGCCCCCTAAGAAAAGGGTGGTGGGACACATGTTACTGGTCAGATGTAATTACCATGGGCAGCCAGGGGACATGCCCATACTTATTGTAGTAAAACCTAAGAAGAAAATGAAAAAAYAGCTCTGSCATTCAGTCAAAATGCAAGTCTGARCTGCTTTTGTGGTRTACAGGATAYACCAATAATGAGAGGCTCYTWTTTGAGTRGATGAGTAACATCAAAAGTTACCTCATGGTAATTAAYTCTTTAAATAATAGCTGGACAAGTGTTTTGTTTTCTTTCACTTTTTGCTTCAGGGTTCCTAAATAGCAGCTGCAGTTGSACTAAAGTATCATTTACTGGTCAACCTTGTTCTGTATTCATCTCTTCCTGGAGAAATTTTGTTGCTTCCCTGTTGAATGATTTGAAACTGGCAAACTCAGCATACTTGATGATGTGACARCCTTGTGTTGTATAACAAATCCCCATCTGGACTTGCCCAGAATAGACTGTGGCCTGTGAATAGGAAGTTCTGTTATGCCTTTTRCCAGAGTTTTAACTGCACAGCTCCCAGACTTGGGCAACTTTTTGGGATAGTTTTATACTTCCTGAAACAGTGCTACCCTGGACAGGATACACAGAAAAAAACCTCTGGACCCTAACAGGGATTTTAAAATGTCCCCAACAGTTTGTCTGTTCTGTTTTTTGGCTAAAAGTAAGTGAACATTTTATTGCTAAACCCTCAAAATCTTTTTGTTTTGCAGCATTATTGAGAAGGGGGAAGAAAATTGTGGGCACCTAATTGAAGCTCACAAAGAGTGTATGAGAGCTCTGGGCTTCAAGATATGAATGAGATGAGCAGGACCGAATGGGGTGAGTATAGTGAAGTGCCCTGTCACCTCAGCTCATGCTACTGGGCAGCCCAGAGTACTGTTCATGATGGCAAAGGGGTGGTGCTTATGAGAGAGAGGGCAGAACAATCCTCATTGACACCAGAGTCAAGGATTGCTGTCCTTGTGAGGGTGGTGAAGCCTTTGGCAGAACCTCTGTGAGTCCCCCTTCAGCAGCAGAACATGCTGCTGCCTCTTGTCTTCTAATAGATCCAAACCTCAGTTTAGATTTCTGATTTAGGGCACATGGGAGTTGGTTTTTGTGGGTTTGTGCTGGGGTTTTTTTTTGTTGATTGTTCAACTGTTGCTAAATATCYAGTGGAAATCCATGTTTTGTGAAGCTGTGTTTCCTTTCTCTTCTAGATGATGTCTTTGGTGTGATTGTGATCTGGAAAGCTGCAAAATAAATTATTTCTGCAAGTTACTTCAAAGAATAAATATAAACAAAGAATTTATTTATAAAGAGTCTCTAATGATAGATTATGCATCACATCTGTAGTTTTTCCACTGTTAGCCCTTGACCACTGCTATAGAAAATATATTTTTCCTCTTAATAAAAGTCTGAAAATGACCAGTGTTCCTGACTTCAGTTTGTTTATAGGTAAAGAAATGACAGTGCCCTCCATACTGAAAACAGAATGCTGCAGGAAAGGAGAGAAGGAGAAAAGCCTGCTTAATCATTATCATGAAAACACAGATTACTCTGGTGTTGTGGTTGAACAGAGAGGTGATGGGTTTTTCCCACTGATGGAAATTGTGAAATTGTGGCAGCAGCATTGCTCTCTTACAGTTTCAGCAGTCATGCTGAAGCTTGTAGAGCCRTTTGTGACAGTAGCTGTAACTATGTTTGTGCAAAGGTGACCACAGTYTTATGAAATGAACTTCCTTAGAGTCAGAACTGTATTTGGTTTCTCCTSTTCGAATTCTTCTGACGGTTTTTGAATGCCATTACCCGAGCTTCATTCTTTATAATTAATTAGGTACTTCCCATGTCGAACTCACTTGAGCCAGTAGTTCTTCAAGGGAAAGGAAGCAGAGGATTGCTGTCTCACTGCAAAAATGACTTGTACAGGTCACTTGCCTGAAAATAAATATTTTTTTATGCCAATTTTTTGTTGTGTTGGCCTAGTGCTAGGCATGCATGCCTTTTGTTTTCTGGCTGCTTTTTTCACCTGTATGAGATGACAGTGGGAGKGGTGGTTGTTGTCTTTGATTCCTTCTTAAAATCTAAAGGAAAAAAGAAGTGCAGTTGTTGGTTTGTTACACATTTGGGACTTTCTGACTTCATACCATGTAACTGTGCAACCCTAGTGGTGTTGTTGCTGTGGCCAGCTTTCCTGAAGACAGTATCACTAATTACTTTTTGTCCTGATGAGTTTTCAGAAGCTGAAGATATGAGCTCTGTGCTTTGTCTTGATTTTTCTCTCGACTTTGATCCTGCTGGAGGGGTGGGTGCAGTCACCATCATTTGTCTGCCTGCTGGGCCCTGCATATCCTGAGCTGGCAATGGCTTTTGACTGTGAACATTAGTATGTGACACTTGGTGCTGCCTCTGCTGAGGCTCACAAGTTGTGTGAGGAGAGTTTAGAGTCTTCCTCCAGGAATGTTGTATGAAGGTACTATCTTGAGGCAGGAGTTGTGTCGATGTTGGCTTTCAGCCTCAGAGTAGGGATGCAGCTGTGGCTATGGCAGAAAGTATTCAAAGCTGCCCTTGGCACTGTAGGTCCTGTAGGAGCAGGACTTGGTGCTTTTCTTGGTGTTTATTGTTGTCTTGAGGTAAAAACTTGAATAAGGTCATTTCTTGTTGAACCATTGTGTGTCGGAGCTTGAATTGAAGAGAATGTTAAAAGGTGGGTAAGCACCAGCTTTGTRGTGGCATAATCTGGGTAAAGTGTGGAAATGGTGCCATAGAAGAGAACAGGGCAGAGATTGGCAGTGGCCAAGTGAGGATGGAGTGTTGTTTATATCAGGTCAAGAAAAGGAAAAAATGTGTTCTTGCACAATTTTACACAAATTCTGTTAACTTGAGAAATGAGCTATCTAGGCCTCCATGAAGGTAAAAGCATGGCTGGTGCTTTAGAAAGTTTTGGGAGATGAGATGATGAGTGGAATGCTGATGTACCTGTGTGTAATAGGTACAGAAAAGATACTGGACAAGTCTAGTTAAAGCAGCAATGGGAAAACCTTGCAGTCAAATTTGGGGAGTGGCTTCATTTCTTACTATGTATTCCTGTGGAGTGGATTCTGTGCTTCATCCCACTCTGGGGATTGGAAATTCTTGTGTTACTACTTACTGACAGTGTTGGTGACAGACACTGCCCTGTGCAGGATGGTTTGTACCTTCAGGGTGTGAAAGCAAGAAACTTGCCTGAACATTATAGCAGTACAACTAGACACACTACATGCTACCTTTGAACCTTTGTGAGTCACTGTGAGCTTGTCTGGAGCAGGCTTGAGACCTTTCCCAACAATTGGAAATCAAATATCTATATTTTGAGGCTACAGGTTTTCTTTGTGTGTAAGTAACAGTTTCGCAGACTATGTCAGCAATGCACTGTATAATAAATCAAAAAAGAGGTGCCTCATTGTGCTCTCTCTGACTTCAAGCCACCAAATGTCCCCAAAACAGGTGATTGAATTAGTTTTCAGCTTACAGGATCAGTAGTGAACCTGTAGACTTCCTAAGGGACGGTCACAATAACCAGTCATTCAGCTGCTGTGAGATTTGGGACTGATAATCTCTGTGTTGTGTGGCTCTCAAGGACACAGGATTTATTTGCCAAACATAGTGCAGGCTGTACCTGCATTGCATCATCACAYACAGCTTAATATTATGTGCTACTGGTCGAGTCCATTTTAAGCAGGGAAAACAGTGAAGTACCTATTTCCACATTKCCTGTTTCAGTGCTGAAAAGTTTGAAATGTCTATTGTCTTCTTCACAGACACATTTTGTGGTAATGCTTATGTGTTTACTTCCAGGGAAGGGACTTTGTGCTGCTCTGGTATTTTCTATGAACTTGCCAAATTGTTTTCAACTTTGGTATGTCCCTTTCCCTTTGAATCAGTATTGGCTTTTGAACACTCGGATGAACCAGCATCTCTGGATGGAAAGCACTTATTCTAATTCAAGGCAAAGCATGAAAATAAAATATCTCTTTGGCAATAAGAGGGTTTTTTACTTTTGCTAACTTGCTTTTTCAGTTTTGGAAAACTGAAAGTGCTGTGAAGATGATTGGTGTGGTCATGGTACTGTCAAGGCAGAAAGATTTAGTCTTGGTAGTTCAATCACTTTACAAATCTTCYTTTCTGAAATTTAGGTCTGAAAACACCTAACTTAATCTTTAGTGTGTGCTCTGAGATCTACCTTTTAAAATGCTGTATCATTCTCTCTAAAATGCCACATTGGGACCTAGCAGAAAAGTTGTGTATTTTCTAAGGAGAACTTTGTGCTGTTACTGCTGTGGATTGAAAGCTTCCTSTCTGCCTTCCACAGGGAAGTCACAATGGTCATCCTCACCCACGATGCTGGCTCCAACATCATTGTTACATCACTCTTTATGCTCTGGGACATGCCAGAGGAAGGACTTTCTTTGTCCTAATGAGTCATTAACATTGCGTTCCAGTTTATTTTCTGCTCAGGAATTTACCTAACTGAAGAATGAAATTAATAACTTCCTTTTTTCCACTTTCTCCGATGTTGCTGCAAAAGATTTTTGGTAGTATGAAAACACAGGAGAAATTGCAATGGTCCTTCTCAGGATCTCAGGATGCTTCCTCTAATGTAGTTCTATATTTCTGTTCATAGCAGTTCAGTTTTGTCTCCTGGATCTTATATAAAGTATCTTTCTCCTAAGAATTCACAATCTTGATATCCCAACTCCTCATTTTATCAGATGTCAGCCTATCTTGGAGAGAAAGCTCCTTATAATACAGATTTTTTTGCAGAAGCCTAAAGGTAGACAAATGGTTGTCGGGATYATATAGGGAGTATATGACAATGATATGAAAACCAGAACCTGGCTCCCAAGATCTTTATTGTAGTGCTTTGGCTGTAAGAATGGACTTGCTGCTTTGCATAGAAGGTTGAGAGAAAGTTCTTAATTTCCCCATAATTCTTGCAGATGAGTGTTCTGCTTCAGCAGGTAGAATTTATTTGTTCACTTAGTTAAGGGGCCACTGGAGCCCAGGTTCCCTGTTTCACTTTACCCTTGACAGAAAGCACTTTTCTGAATGGACTGTACTCACCCCATGCAAAGTTTAATTTGTCTCCTTTCCTTTCAGGATGGCAACCTGCCAGGCTCTTAGGAGCCATGCAGCTCTGTGTTGCACGTGGCCTAAAATCATTGCTGAGATAAGATTGTACTATCYAAGACCATGATGAATTCTTTAAAGTTGCAATAAAGCCCTGCTGCAGCCTTGCCCAGGACAGTGTTATTCCAAAGCACTGTTAGCAGGAGAGGTGATTGGTGTGTCTTTAACTGAATGGTGCCAATGGGAATGGTATGTTAGGCAGGGCAGCTGCGAGCTCRGCCTGAAACACGACCACCCTTGAAACCCTATCTCTACCCCACTGACCCATGCGGGCTGATTTCACACTGTGTTGGGAGACCACGGGGGTTGTGTCCATGCCTGAAATGTAACTGCATCCTGGCGGTGGGGCCGATCCTGCCTGTGTGACTGATAACTTTTACTTGAAGTAGGGGAGAAACTGCATTTATGCTGTTTTGTGTAGCTGACCAGAGAGGACTGACCTGGAAAGCTCCCTGTCTCCTGGGTTACCTGAGTGGGATGTGTTTGCTGTCCTCTTTGGGTTAAATGAAGGTCTGGGGTGGGTTCCAAATAGCTATTGAAAAAATAAAAATGTGAGATGATGTTTCTCAAGGGTGCTTCCCAACAGAGACGGTAATCCCTCAACAAGGATTTCCCCACAAAACATGCTTCCAAGTGTTCCACACTCACAAAGCTTTTGGCAGGAYAGTCTTGTCTTTGTGATAGATGAACCTGAGTGCCAGAGGCTTGTTTGCTCTAGTTTTATCCCTTGCATTCACAGTTGTCTGGCTGTGCAGAACTTTACCTCGTGATCTTTGATCTAAAATACCCCAGCAGAGAGAGCTGCCTGGAGTAAGAGGAGTAATGCACCCTGTAATGCGCCAGGAAAGCATTAATTGAGAGCCAGCCTCTCTTCTTTTACTAAGTCCCTGCCACAGTGTGAAAAGGGGTGACCTTTTTCCTTTTTTGTGCTGGGTGAAAGTCACTCTCTCGCAGGAGTGCAGTGCAGTGGAGAGCCCAAAATGTGACTGGAGCTCGCCGTGATAAGCTGCTTGTTTTCCCTTTTCCTTTCTCCTCCTCGCACTGTGCGGCGCTTATCGGGACGCCTGAGTTATGTTAAGTAGCGGGTGCATGCTTGCTCTCTGTTCTCCTCGCTGCTTTTGCTCCTTGGATTTCAATTCCAAACATGGTTATCCATTTGGGGTCTCTCTCCTTTCCGCTGCCAAGAGATCCACATTCCACACTCAACACCAGCTCCCTCTGCTGCTCTCTCACGGTTGCTATTCCATTTGCCGGAGTGCAGGCGAGACAGGCAGTGCAAGGAAATCTCTCTCCTGTCTGTGACTTTTCCAGCTAATGGCCTCTACTCTTTTTTTGACTGAGCTCTTTTGGCCTCGCATTTGCCAGCTTCTTTTCTCACTGTTGTGGCTAAGAAGAGGGCCAGCCGACGGTTTGTGAGGACACAAAGAGGACAAGTGAGCCCTTTTGGAATTTTTTGGGTGCAAAAACATTTGGCAGCACTTTTTTTTAACATGTCGCTCTGAAGCACTGCCGCGGGACCAGACGGTGCTCAAGAGGAGGAGGAGGAGGAGGAGGAACGGCTACCCAGCAGCTCTCATTTCAAACCTTTGCAGCACCCTTTGTGTATGACAATCCACTCTGAGCGCAGGACGGCTGGGGAGGGTGGGGAGTGGGGCAGGATGAGCTCAAACAGCCCCTCTTGGGACCAGGCTGTTCTCCGGCCTCCGGTGTGTGATGCCTGGAAGGAGATTATGGAGGAAGCAGCCTATCAGCTGGCCAGCTGCATCGTCCTCCTGGGTTACATGGGGGGAAGTGGCATCTTTGGGTCCCTCTATATCTATGGCCTCCTGGCCCCAGGCTACTTCTGCTATGCTCTGTGGGGCTGGCTGAGCGCTTGTGGGCTGGATATCTTCATCTGGAACATTCTGCTGGTCCTCGCCTGCTTGCTTCAGCTGGCTCACCTGGCTTACCGGCTCCGCAGAAACACCATCCCAGAAGAGTTTGACCTCCTCTACAAGACCATGTACCTGCCCTTGCAGGTGCCCCTGGAAGTGTACAAAGAAATTGTGAAGTGCTGTGAAGAGCAGGTGCAGTCGCTAGTCAGAGACCAGAATTACGCTGTGGAGGGCAAGACGCCCATTGACCGCCTCTCGTTGCTGCTGTCTGGCAGGTAAAGGCTCCCCTGGTTCTGAACAAAGTCTGGCTTATTGTATTATCACCCTCTCTAGAAACTGGGGTGAGGATTGTTTCCTTCCTCTGAAAAGGATCTCAGATATGCATCAGTTTGTTGCGGAAGAGGGAAATTTGCTTTTTGAGGGGTTAGTTTTCTTTTGTTTGTCTAATTTAATGGGTAATGGTTTACAGACTCCAGCTGTCTTCTGTGAAGTGGCCTGCTCAGCCTTACCTGTGATGCTTTTGATGAATCCTTACCCCTTTCTCTGTCATTTTGAAGTGATCTTGTTTCTGATGGGATCAGACTGGCTGTGAGGAAGTGTTTCTGGAGGGAGGAGGGCAGTGTGTCTGGAGTGATGGTCTCTGGGGGTACCAGGCACATCTCTGTGATGTGGAGAGCTGTGTGCTGAGTATGCTGAGGCCTCAGTTCACCTGCTCTCCCTGGTCAGCAGTGTTCACAGAGAGGTTCCTGTTCCCAACACCCCAACCCCTCAGGGCTTTGACATTTTTCACTTTGAGCATCATTTCATCAAAAGAGAGTGTGTTCTCCTGTGGTAGATCCTGTCTAACCAGGCCTCTTTCTTTCCTTGTCCTGTCAAGCATTTGTGATATTCCTTCCTCTGGAGGGAACCTCTAGACAGTCCCACTGGAGATTTGATTGAATTAATTCTGCTGATCAAGTATTGGCATTTRTTCACCTGGGATCCTGTGATGTGCCTTTAGCAGCATATCCACTTAATGATTTGCAAAATCCAGGTGCATACAAAGAGCAATAATGTTGGCTTCCAGGCAGCTGCCAGGAACTTGGCACTTCTGTTACATATGGCTGGGAAAAGGAGAAGATCCTTTAATAGGAGCAGTGCTGAGCTGCAGGTGTGTGTCTCACAAGGATTTTCCTTTGGGGATACAAAGCATCACCTGGGGCTCATGTTTTACTTCAGTGGCCAATCCTCTCTGGTGAGGGAGTGTGCACAGGAGAAGGGCTCCCTTCTTTTCTTTGATGTTGCTCCCTTTTCTAAGATGTGTCAAGAGCCCCCTGGGACCACCAGGATGTTGAACGGCAAAACACTGGAAAGAAATTTAGTATGTGTGTTTCCATTAGTGCTTCCYCTTACCAAACATCTCTGCTGAGCTGCTAGTTCTGAGGTTTACTGTATCTGCAAGTAACATTGATGGAGAAAAATCTGTGCTGTCTTCACCTGCACTGGATAGATAACGTGAAGCTGCTCTGTGGGAATGAAAGTGCTGCAACAGACAGTAAGATGGTGATGGTGGTGGTTTTTGGGTTCTCTTTGCAGTGGGAAGTATGCATCTTGGCTGGTACAGGATGCTTCATGGAGATGGGAATGGATTTACATTTCCTGGGACCCACTCTATTGCCTTATGAGGTCCTTGCTGACCCAGCAGAGCATTGCTGCTGTTGTGAACAAGTGGGGTCTTGGGAATGCAGAATATGCCTGGATCAGRAAATGTGCCTTGCAGTCCCTGACCCCTCCAGGCAGCACTCCCAGCTGATTAGAAGCCAGTGGTGGACTGTGTCTTGTAACTCCTGAAAGCAAGAATTGCCTTTGTGYATCATACAACAGGGGTGCATGGTGACAGGAAAGCAAGAGGCCCCAAGTCTGGTGATGCAGAGCTATGAATAGAACTCCAGAGTGCCCTGCCATTGTCCTTGCCCCAAGCCTGGGCAGCTCCTTCTCTGTTCCCACAGCTGAACTGATGCACGTTTGACCTTGACACTGGCAGGCACTTGTAGCAAAAGTGGGCAAAAGGGATCCTTAGAAGACCAAGAGAAAGTGAGTTGGGTATGTGCAGTGTACTATGAGCTCACAGGGTGATCTGTCAGGAACCGTGGGCAGCGTGATTTTGGGGGATCTTTTCTGTAATGACTTCCCTGTGCTGTGACAGGGAATGCCCTCGTGCAATCCTGGGGGCAGGAGGAAGATACAAGGACAAAGAGCCACAGACTGGCTTAGAAATAYCTAGAAAGCAGCAGCAGTTCTGTGGGTGGAGAAGTCCTGGGTTAGGACCAAGATTGCACCTGTGAGGGCTCTCTGTGTAGCAAGAAACAGGAAACAGATGGAGTGTGGGGAGTGTGGGGAAGTGGCAGCAAATAGAAAGGAAGGATGGCCTCATCACCAGAGCTCCTGCAGCTGTCCCAGGAGGATACAAGACATGTGTGAGACAAGTATTTCTTTCTTCCTTGGTGGGACACCCTGATCCAGGYATATTCTGCATTCTGAGCTGATCAGATTTGTGTGACATCTGTTTTGTGGCCTAAGCCTGTGTTYCTCACCTGTTTTCTGCAGGATCCGAGTGTGCCAGGATGGACAATTCCTTCACTACGTCTTTCCATACCAATTCCTGGACTCTCCTGAATGGGAGTCGCTGCGACCCTCTGAGGAAGGAACTTTCCAGGTAACCCCAGCTCAGCTTCACTCCATGCTGCTTTGCTGCACGTCTGAGAAGGGGATGGAGTGGCCTCATGATGCCATTCAAAGCTCACCAGGAATACTTTCCTCCCCTTCTTTGTGGTTTAGCCAGCGCAGGATTGTGGGCTCAGCTGTTTTACCTTTTTATCAACCTTGTTCTGAACATCTCAGGGCTTGCTCCCACTATCTGCTGATAGCAAGGAGGGTGGAGCGTCGTGCTCCTCCTTCCAGTTTATCAGGGAATTGAGGTATTGGATTTCTCTCGTCCATGGTAGTATTCTCTAGTACCTGTACTGATGTGTTTGCCCTGCACGCTGCTGGCAGTCTGTACTGCCCCAGCATCAGGATGGCAGCTGTAGCAATGCAGCAGTGATGTGAATCCATAAATATCCTGCTCCTCACAGAAGTTTCTGATGGTCATGTGTTTGGGGTGGGGAAGCAGAAAGGATGGYTCACACCCGAATATGGTTCTTTCTGAGCAGAAAGATCCCTTGCTGAGAGGCCARGCCAATTCTTATTCACAGCAACTGGAAGGATTTTGGCCTTGCTGTCAACACCCCACAATGTTTCTTTGGCTTTCCTTCTRGAGAAGATTACTTAAGCCTACGTCCCTCTGTCTTTAACTCACATCCCAGGATGGCCTGATAATTGTCAGGATGTCGATCTTGATTATGTCAGTTAGAGAAATTTGCTAATCCCTTGGGAGCGTGGGACGGTCCTGAGGGAATGATGCTTTTTCATGAGGGTAGCCCCAAGCAGACTTGGTTAAACCAGGGCAGCTCTCCAAATCTTTGGCTTTCTCTCCAAATCTCCAAGCTTTCCTAGGGTCTGAATTTGGCTCATGTGTGAAAGGGTCGTGGTAATTGCTCCTGAAAACTGTGCCATTGCCTGTGGCTTTGGTTGCAGGAGATAGCTGGCTGTGTGACTGTGGCACGGGGACAGACTGAGCAGAAATAGGAATGCTGGACYGAGGTACTGAGGTGGAAAAGGCAACAACAGCATGGCTGTGCTAGGGCTGGTAGTATCTCATGTTTTGCACAGATCTTCAATCAGGCAGCAGAGTGCTGCTAACTCCTGGGCTGTATTTGCCCAAACAGAGAGAGTGATGGCTGCCTGGTGCTCCMGGCAGGGAAATGGCTGACTGCATGGTATGCAACCAGCAAAGGTATCCACAGCATTTTCTGAGCTAATTTCTGTGTAACTGAATGTTCCCACACCTCCTGAAGGTCTTTATCTGTGGTTCATGAGGCAGTTTGGGAGCAGGCTGGTKCCAGGCTGCACAAGCTGTGCCAGCACCATGCTCTTGGCACCTCTCCTGCTCTGCAAGACAGTGGTGTCGGGTGTGGGTGACACCAGCACAGGGAGGKAGAGCCTTAGGGAATGCCATATGCTGGAAATGCCTAAACCCCACTTCTGCTTACTGAGGAGCATGAAGAAGTAGCAGCTGTATGAGACCAGCATTCATCAGGTGAGGCTTGACCAGTCTGTGTACCTGGAAGGACCTTACTCGTGATGGCCATGCCTAACCATGGTGATGTGCTGCTTTTGGCAGCTGTTTAATCCACTAGTCCTTCTCACCTGAGTAGTTAATAAAACTCTGTAATTTATCTCAGCCTTATTCCTAGCATCACAATAATTGGGTTTAAAAAGTGCATATTGGACTCTGGAACTTTAMTGGAGAAGGGCATGGAAGGTTTGTCTTGCCCAAATTTTCCCCATGGCTCTCTGGATTGAACAGTTTCAATTTTGAGCCCCCTGAAAAATGACTGAAGCATGACTTGGTCTACAAGAATAGCTGGTTTCCTTGAGCWTTCTGCTTTGGCTGTGTCTGCTTCCCACAGGACTGCTGGGTTTCAGTGCCTGAAGGAGTTTGGTTTCAGGGCTGGCACTTTCCCCCAGAAGGCTGAATTACAGGCTCTTGCTGATGTATTTGTGTCAGGGGGGATTCAGGAGTGAAATCTGTCTTGCTGTCCCGGTGTAGGTGGCCAGTTTGCTTATTGCATCTCAATCCCTCACAAGAAGGGATCACTTTTGATCATTGTGCCAGAAGTTGGTTAGGAAAATGAGATTCTGGTCATTTCAATTTCCGTGTGACCCTTCTTCTTTGCTCGCCTGGCCTGGGRAAGTTCTCAGGTTTTATCTCCTATATTTCTCTCATCAGACAGCTGTTTGCAGGGCAATGGCATTAAATATCAAACCCAAGGACACACACATGCAGCCWGGCCATGTTCAGCTTTCCAGTGGCTCTGTGCCATGGCGGCTGCCCAAGGAGACCCCTGGATATAGAGTGAAAGGGAGCCCCCGGGATATTTTGGCTCTGGCACTTGTTCACATGCCAGTGTCTCCATTACACTCGGATGTTCTTCTTTGGCTCAGGGCAGGTTGACCCTTCCTGCATTTCTTGTCTATATTATTWTTATTTATTATAATATACACTCACATATTATATAAGGTTTTTTGCTGGAATTAGTCTCRTCCTACAGCTTGTCTCTTTCCATTGGTAAAACCTGAAGTGAAATGAAACATTCTCTGGAATCAACCCGATAAACCCTCATGGATTTTCTATATATACACAAACACAATAAAACCTTTTTATTTCCTCTCTCACTGAGCTGCGCTGCAATGTGCTTCAAGACCCTTCAGCCCTACAGAGTCCAGCAGAGCTGCTGAGACAAAATGTCCCTCTGGCACAGGGTGACCAAACCATCCTTCCAGATGGCCCTTCCAGCACTTGGGGCTTTTTTGGAGCAAGGACTGTGCACCCCAGCAGCAGGATGGGTCAGCAGCCTGCCCCAAGGCTACTCACTGGCAACTTGAACTGGCTGGGCATGCAAAAACATCCCCCTCTGTAGCATTTCTGTGGAGGAATAGGGGTGTCTGTGCTGCCCTGGTCATTTCAGCTGCATCCCTCAGATGTCAAGAGGGAGCATCATGAGAAAGCAAGAGGGTGAAATGTAGCCATGCATGTGGCTGGGTTAAATGAGGACATTGTGTAGGAAAATGGGGTCTTTGGCTCCTTGGGGACAGGAAACAGCAGCAGGTAAGGATTTATCCAGTCATAAAACCAGGACAATCTGGTTCTCCAGCCCCATCATCTCCAAGGAGAATAGGCATCCAGGGGGCTGAGTGCCTTCCCTGGAGTGAAGCACATGGCTCCGAGGTGGGTGACCCCTACTCCGCTTGCTCCCTGCCCCACAGGTCACGCTGACAGCCGAGACCGACTGCAGCTACATCACCTGGCCCAGGAAGAAGCTGTACCTGCTGCTGAGGAAGGACCGCTACATCGCCCGSCTCTTCTCCTCCCACCTGGGCTACGACATCTCCGAGAAGCTCTACTCCCTCAACGAGAAGCTCTTCGCCAAATTTGGCCTTCGCTTCGACATCCGCTTGCCCAGCCTCTACCACGTCCTCGGGCCAGCCTCCTCGGAGGGGGAATCAGAGGACTGTGAGGAGCTGCTCCCTGTCTCTGGCCAGGCTGGCATCTCTGAGCCACCGTCACAGCCGCCACCAGCACCGCCACTGCCAGCTCCGCGTCCCCGCGCCTCCCGGCCCGACAGTGACCTGCTGGGTGAGGACTCCACCAGTCTTGTCTTGGAAGATTTTGCTGAGTTGCCGGGGTCTTTTATGGACTATGTGAGCGAAGGGGAGTATATGAAGTGAGGGCACTCCTGGCACGGGCACACCTCACCCTGTGTGGGACCCTCGTGTAAGTACCCACTTGCAGAGCAAGTCTTTCCCGTGATGCACCTGCCTGGACAGAGCAGTTGGCCCCCATTTGGCATGGATTTGCAGTGTTTTTTGGCCTGCCCCAAGGATCCCAGAAGGTGTGCTCAAGCTATGTGATTTTCTTAAGGAAATGCAGCAGGGCAGAGGCTTGACTCCAGGCACCAGCTGTACTGTGGGGTAGAAGGGCTGGTAACCTGGCCATAGAAAGCTCTTCCATGCCCAGTTCTGTCTTCACCCCTCAGGAGAGGTAGAAAATCTGAAATGGTGTCCAGGCTGGCAGGTGGTACACGAGTGGTCACAGAGACCATGAGATACTCCAGTATTGAACCAGAGCTCTGCAGGTGAGAGAGCCCACATTCCAGGAGATGCCAACAAGAGTAGAAACAGCTCCAGGGTTTATAACAGATGAGTAGCCAGGAGCTGCTGTAAACCCTGCAAGTGCTCAGTCTGGGCAGGGGGAGAAAGCTCAGAGTCCTTCCTCTCCCTGCCCACACAGCTCATCCCAGCATTTGATCTTCCCTCCKTGTTTCTGCTGAGGKTCATCTCTGCCAGATCAGTAAGATATTGGAAAGCCTGCCCTGGGTGGTATAGGTCTTGCCTCCAATCACCCTGGGTGGGCTGACAGGCTAAATATTTTAAGATACCCCAAACTCTGCTTTCCAGTGAGTGAGAATGAGATGCTCTTCCAAAATGCCAGCTCCTAACTCCACAAGGGAAAAACATTCCTGTGCCTGTGGCTGTTGGGGCAGAGGAACAATGCATGCAAACAGAAATAGATGGGAGAGTGGCTTGTGCTTGAAATTCAAATCCAAGTGGCTGAGAGAGAAATTCCACCCTGAGCTACTTTTAGCTAGCTACTGCACACTAGCTGCTACAGACCAGCTGCAGACCCCAAAATGTGCATTCCTAACCCAGCTACCAAGCTTGGGACTGGGATTTCTGTCCTAAAAGTGACCACTGCATGTGTCCCAGCTGGCTCTGCATGGCAGGGAGGAGGTTGCAGGGCTGGGCTGCAGCTGGCAAGTTTATCCTCCATCAGGCAGCTTTGAACACAGTGCAACCTTGCAGCCTGCTCTTCTCTGTGCCTGCTTGGGTCTGCTTCTACCTGTGCTGTGGACTCAAGTGGCAGGGACCGTTGAGCCCTAACAAGTCTGCAGCRTTCTTCATATTATCTGGGATATGAAGAAAGTGGCCAGGGAAAGAACAAGTGTATTTTGTTTTGGCTGAATCAGATGAAGGGTCAGCAAGAGTTTTTGATTAGGGTTTTGTTGTTGGGGTTGGTTTGTTGGTTTTGTGTGGTTGGTTTTTGTTTTCTTTTTTAAGGAGGCACAGGGAAAAAAAAAATCCACATCTGTCCTAGAAACATGAGTCCCTGTTTTTGCTGGTAGGCTGCTGSAGATATGAATTTGCAGCTTTTTCAGTCCTTACTTGGAGAAGCAGGAGCCCTTAATCACTTATGAGACAGCCAACCTCCTGKCTATCAGAAGTGTCTGTGAACACATGCAATCACAAGTGAATGCAAGTAGTGTTGTAAACATGGTGAAGTCACTTTGTCCATGCTTCGATTCTATTTTGCCTTCTCAGAAGGAGGATATTCATTCTCAGATAATTGGTAGAATTCTCCTAGTTGATCAAGCTCAATAAAATGAGAATTTCAAATGCAATAAAAAAGAGAAGAGTCAAGGAACACCATAGCTTTTTTTGGATAATTTTCACCCATTTTTGGTGATAAAGCAATGCTGTGAACATACACACAAGAGGTATGTGTGTTGGGCAAAATTTGTGCAACGCAGCAGAAAGCTGTATCTCTCAGTCTGGAGAAAATAGTCAGGTGGTATTTTGATTTTTAAGGTAATTAGACAGGGAATCAAAAACCCTGTTTGGTGTGTTCATAATAGTGGAATGAGAGCTTCCCTGYTACCCTGCTTGCCATTTGTGTGTCCTAATCACATCACATCTCATCCCATCCCACATCAGATTGCAGCACAGCAGCAATTATCACATCTGGATGATAATCCACAGTGACTTGAGTGCCTCACCACAAACCCCAGTGATACAGAAGGGCTGCAGGTTTTCCCTCTGTCCAAACACTTGTCACAGCTCAGCAAATAATCTGAGCAGGTCTGCTGCAGCTCAGGTAAAGCACTTTCACAACTTTTTCTCACATCTGTAATAAACAGGGAAATTCCCTGCAGCGTCATTACTCAGAGTAAGTCCCTGAAGTCAGAGCTCCCCTGGGGCTTTCCCCTGGTCTGTGCTCTCATCTCCTTCCCCAGCARCTCCCAATGTGGGTAATCACCTTGCAGCTCTCTGAATTCCCCGTGCTGAAGTGCTTCTGTGGGTCACGTTCCTTTTCTGTCACTACAACAGCCACCTKGCAGGAGGGCAGCTCTTGAATGCTCAAAGTGCTACAAAAGTCATATAGAAGAAAATATTCATGGCAGATACTTTGGCCTATTGTTGATATAATAGCATGAAAGAGTTTCTAGTCTCCTTATGAGTAAGATGGACTGTGATATCCCACTGATATCTTGCTCTAAGGACGATGCTGTTTGAAGGAGGCAGTGTCAATGGTTCTGTTCAATACTTGCTTTAACAATGTACTGCTGTATGGCTCAGTGCTCCAGAGGAAACTAAGCCTTATTCCTTGCATGGAAATGTAAACAACCCAAAGCAACCTGCTTTTTCTCCTGTTCATAATGCATTTGTTCTAGTTTGTTGCAATCTAGTGCTTGCAGGATGTGTAGCTGTTGCTATGTGGTTTTTTACAGCTGCCTTTCTATTTGGTGTGTGAGATGGGTGGATGGATGCTTGATAGTCTTCAGCTTGGTATCTAAGTTAGTAGGAACTGTTTTATACCTTTGAGAGCAAAAGCAAAGGAGGTGTGGGCTTTGATTCACCAATATCACAAAAGGTGCTTTGGAAGGGTTTGTTTTTGCTGTCTCAGAATGGGTGTATTACCCTGTGTCCTGATTTATCAGTTGTTGAAGAATTCCATAGTTTTGCATGCTTGTTTAGGAGGGGAGGGGAGAAGAACAGGTAAAGATGGGCTCTGTGAGATTTGTGTCTTGGAAAAATTTGAAAGTATTATAGTAATGGTGCACTCTCTTTTTCTCTCTCTTTCCCTCTCTCTCTTCCTCTGCCCCCTTTTCCTCCCTCCTCCACTGCTTTCCTTCTGCAGCCTCTGAAAACCATCTCCAGAGTTCTCGCCCTCTCTGCAAAGGACGAGCCCCTCTGGCTCCCACTCAGACCCCCGAACTCTAGGGAACAACAGGATCCCAAAGCCCCTCCAAGGGAGCAGAAGCTCACGCAGGTTTTTGACCAGAGAGACACTCTTTAGCATGCAGAGACGTCTGCCAGCAGACATCTACACTCAGGAGCACATGAAGCACATGCTTAAGACTGCAGTGTGACACTCCAGCACCTCCCACCCCGTGTTTTTCACCAGAGCTGCCTTCCCCAGAGTGCTTCCACGGTTTGTTTTCTAGTCCTGCCTCTCTGAGGTGTGTTGGCATCTCTGTCACCAAAGTGCACCAATGTCACTGTGAGCAATACCAGCCTGCTCRCAGAATCTCTGTTCCCTTTGATTCAATGATTCCCATTAAAGTCAGAGATGAAACTACTGGTGTTTGAGGATTTAAAGAGGGAGATAACAGCGGGAGGGAGGGAGAATTTGAAGAGAGAGATCACTTGAGGTGATCTCAAGGCATAGAGTGAACAGGGCAAGGGAAAATGGGCTGCCTGGCAGCTTTGGTAAAGGGCTTGCAATGGAGAGTTTGATAATCTGCATCTCACTGGACATCCACCCTAGTAAGACTAGAAATTACCTTTCCAGGAGTTAGGTTTTCTCACCTATGACAAGCACAATTTCTCAAAGAAGCTGGTGGAAAAAGACTTCTGGTGAAAGGTTGTTTTTTTGCRTTGATTCATTTGAAATAAGAAAGAGTAGGAATTGGGACTGGGAACAGGTATAAGCAAAACCCCCTTTTTGTGTGCTCAAGGAGAAGGGACCTCAGGGTGTACAAACATCAAATGAAGAAAGGAATGAATACAAAACATCTGTGAAGAGAGCAGCCATTGGTAGGAAGGACAATGCCTTAATGAAAATAGCWTGGAGATGGAAGGGCCTCTTCCAAGTTCAGCTGCACCAGGATTGGTCTGATGAGCTTCCCCAGCCATTTCCTCAGTCAGGGAATTGGAGATGGAAGTACCTGTGGAGGAATCCTCTCTCACAGTGTGGGGCAATCAAGTTGAGCAATGGGGGTAGCAGCCTCTCCAGGGCAGGTATCCAGGGAAAGAGCAAGGGGTGTCAGTCCCTCTGACAGCGCAGGCAAAGGTGTCCTTTGGTGCCTCTGGGCACAAACACACATGGGCATGGCCGTTCTGCCTGTGGGGCTGGCTTTGTGTCAGCCATGGAGGCAGCCCCACCTGCCCCACCCTGCTCACACAGGCCCACAGGCTGGTTTGGCCTCTCTTGCAAGGCTCAGCTGGGCAAAACCTGTGCCCTTGGGATCTGGCATTCCTGCCAAGGGCCTCTGGAGCAGTGGGTATGTGGGATGTGTGCACACAGCTCCTTGCACTGCTCACCTTTGCTCCCACACCAGGGCAGGAGAATGGGGCTGGCCCAGGCTGGGGAATCATCCTGCTGATGGTTGTCAGCATGCTCTGTCAATACATTGGTGCTTCAGCCTGACCCCACTGCCCTTCACAGCTCAGAAACATCTCCAGCAGACTGACACGAGAGCTGCTGGGCTCTCTTCTGCAAAKGAACTGAAATGCACCATGAAACTGGGTCCATCTGTTGAGGTGCTTCWTACACCTGCCTGGAACACTGAATCAGGCTGGGCTGAATTATTACCCTTCACAGGTGTTTGTTGAGCTTATATTCCAGTCCTCAACAAGAAGCTCTCTGGAAACCCTTCAATCATGGTGCCAACTAATATGGATCTCTACAAAGTTGTCAGAGCCCAGCTCTGTCCCTCTCCTGAGTGTGTGTTGAAGATGATGTTCTTAGCTTTTCATAGAGTCATGTGGCAGGCCCAAAATCTTGGCTGGGAACTGAAAGTTAATCACGCCGTGACACTGTCTAGTGGAGCAGGAGTGACAGCTCATGGCAAATGACTTGAGACTTCTTCATTGCATAAATGCTTTTAGCATGTCCCTCTCTCCTGATCATGGAGTTCCTGATGCACTTTTCTATCACTCAGTGAAGCCAGTACAGGGAACCAGAGAAAATGGTYAATAGTAAATGTGATTTGTGGGCAGAAATTATGAAAGACTTGTCTCCTCTTTAATTTGCATACATATCACAGTGTGGGAAAGGTGTTGCTGGGTTGTTTCTGTGATCAGGCATCTCACTGTAATCTTTCACCAATTATTTCCAGCCTTCAGCTACTTTTTCAGCTCTGAAAGCCTATGCTGAGGTCCTGGGACTATTTGGTGTTAGTTGGCCCATCATTTCAATGCTGCAGTCTCCTACAACCTTCTATTCTGGGCAGAGGGTCAAAGCAGTGCAAAATTGGATGTGAGAGCACTGTGCTGCTCCTGGTGTCTGCTTCACTTCATAGGAGCTTCTTGAGAGAGAATTATGTGAAATCAATAGGGTCTCCCTCTGAAAATGTCTTGTAGATGGGACTAGTGAGTTTCCCATTGGAGCTCTGGCTAAGAATGGCTCCTTCCCATGCCAAACTTGGACCACACCATTTCCCCTTGCTGAGGAAATACCTCTCACCTTTAATATGAAGATTTCAGGACAGTTTAAAMCAGTAATGAATTATACCAATACTCACACCATAAAAAGAGTGGTATTATCTACGCCTTCTTTCAAACAGATCCAAACCTTGAGATTAAATGACTTGCCTGTCTCATTTTGAAAGCTGGGTACAGAACCTGTGAGACAAAAGTTCCAATCCAGTCTTTTAACTGGGAGGTTTTGCTGCAACCAGTTAACCTTGCATTTGCCAGTCTGCCATGCAATTCTTTTCCTCGACATCCTGCCCCCAGTGCAGGGAGTAAAAAAACCCATCCAGTTTTATGGTGRAAGTATCATCTGTGACCAGAGAGCAGCAACATTTTTAGGACTTCTTTCTGGCTTTGTGCATCCTGAAGGCAGAGCTAGGCACAAGCAGAACGCAGGCTGTAAGAAATGTCTGTTTTGCTGGGGAGGGTGAGGCTCCAGGGCAGACACAACATGGTCCTGCTGTGGAAAGAACACAGAGAATCAGGCAGGGCATTACCAGGTGGAGGTTGCTGTCCCAACACTGAAGCAAGCAAGGTGCTGGACTTTGTTCTGCATTGCCAGGGTGCAGGTTAGCACCTCTTTCAGGCAATGTGCTTTGCTGTTCCATTCATAAGTGGTAGAAGCACATCCATCCCAAGTTTGGAGTGCAAAACATGCTAGTAAGGAATRATCCTTATACTCAAAGGAGTACCTACATAGGTATTTACATAGGAATGCAATGCCTTTTTTCCCCCTGTCTGGGCCTACTGGATATATTTTTACTGCTTAGAACTTGAGCCTCCTTACTGTCCCTCAAAACAGAATTTGAACTTGCTTTGAAGCACCTGCTAGCTTTGTTCARCCTTGAACCAGCATTTCAGAAGCAATGTGGGCAGTTCAGTGTGTCAGCATAGACCAGCTATTTTGTCCTGCTTGCGAGAACTTTGGATCTGCAAAACTCCTGGGAAGAACGTTGTATTATGGAGAAGACCATTCTGTCTCTCCAGATGTGAAGGACTTGGCTGCTTTCACTCTGGGAAAGGTAACTATAGCTGAAGGTACATACTCTACAATAGCTGGCCTAGAAAATGCCAAAGTGGTTGTCTGCAGCCTTAGTGCTTTATAAACCTTGCTGTACAAGAAGCAGAAATCTATCATTGGTCTTCTATTGTCTTATCCTGAAAAATGTTCACCTGTCATGTTTTAGATGGGGGCCCATTGTAGACAGGGAAAGATGAAGAGRGCAAGCAAGGACAAAAGGAATAAATTCTAGTTAGTACAAGCYCTTTCCATGGTTTGTGACTTAAGTRTCTTCAAGGTTATGTGAGTTGCAGCCATACTTCTTCCATGGCATGGGGGAAAAGATTTGGAAAACTACAAAACTACCTTCATAGTTTTCTCTTTCACAGATAGAAAATTAGTTACATAGGGACACAGAGGTGATGGGAAAGACCTCTTTACATGTTTATCTAAACAGGAGAAAATRGTTTCAAACCACAGGTTGCATCCATAGGCTCAGTGTATCCCTGTATGACATTGCTGGGGCTTACCTGCTGTTGAGAGGCAGCGGTGCTACACAGAACTTGCCAACAATGGATGGCTCATCCTTTCCCCAAAAACGATTCTTGGGGATATACTTCAGGGTCACACTGTTTATCTGGCACAGGGGCACTTGGTGGGCCAGCAGATGTTTGCCTGTCTCCTGGTCCTTAGGTCTGCAAGGCAGCATGAGAGATGTGAGGGATGTGTTCCATCAACTGCAGATGCAGTCCCTGAGCAGACCCATGGAAACACTGGAGGAATGTGCAGTATTATTGTGAAGYCCTCACATAATAAAACAGAGTGAGAAGACTCATCTGTCAAAAAAGACATTGCACAAGCTATCTTTCCATGTTTTATATCTGCATTCAGGAATATTTCTGAAGAAATATCCTTCCTTCCAGCACACAATTACAATCACTCTTCTTACAGTTGCATTTTGATTGAAACCCTGCTCAGCTTGCCACAGAGAGGTAAGTGGTAGATAAGTCAACATCTATGAAATTGTGAATGGTGTGRATGGAGACCATTTGTTCACCATTTCTTCCAGCACACGAACTAGGGATTGTCAAAGAAGGCTAAGAAGTGGCAGGCTCAGAAAAATGCACGCTGCACAGAGAACCATTCCTTTCAAGCTGTTTAAATCCTTGCTGTGGGATGTTGTGAATGCAAAAAAGTTTATGTGGCTGTACAAATCAGGGTAGGGAGACTGGGCAGTTTGTGGAATACAAAAGCTAGTAAGGATAAAGATCTCATCTTTGGCTGTGTAGGTCCCAGTGATGTAACCAAACACTGAGAAACTCTGTGGGCAAGTATTGCTACATGCTGACACTGAGATTTTTTTATACTTTTCTCCAGCTACTTGCTTTTGAACATGTTGAAAGTGGGATGCTGTGATAGAGGGACCTTTGTCCTTCCCTATGCTCTTACCCAGCTAATGTGAACTGAGAAATGACACAGGCTTGGTAATAAGCCAGYGATCAGAGCCCAGTCAGAGGTGTGCTGCCCTGGCATTTTAAGTCCCTTCTTAAAATGTGGAGTTCATCCAGTGGGCCTTACACTTGATCTACTTGGCACTTCCTAGAGCATGGAGATCACTGATTTCCTTGTACTCATGTAGAATAATATAGGTGTAGCTGACTTGGCATGGTCCCAGAACCACCTGGGTAACTGCCTGATCAGAAACATGATGGTAGGGAAAGAGAGGTGAAAAAGGGTCAGGAAGACCAAGTCTGCTAACCCAAGTAGCTCCCAGGAGCTATGCCCTCCTRGGCACAGCAGCCAACCCACACCAGTGCACCCAGTCCCTCCCTTAGACCACAGCAGTAGTTGCTGGAAGTTTTGTGTGTCTGCCTGGCTTGAAGCTTCTTAAAATAAAAAAAATGTGACAAAATGGTGGTTATGAAAGCGAACAGTGGATAGCAAATGGAGGCCATGTCTCTATGGCATGTTGGCCACAGACAGAGGAATACAGTACAGTTAACCATGTTGAAGAGAGTCACTTGTGGGACTGACACTTGGTCCAAYCCTGCACAACCTTTGGATGGATGTAGGAGACTTGGCTGGCTTCAGAGGTATGTTTTCTTGGATATGGGGGATGATGTCATGGGATGTGTAAGCGCACAGCAGTGCAGCTGGGAAGTGTCCTGTGTAACAACCTCCTCACTCACCAGCCCCATGTCAGCTGCTGAGGCTGGGGGACAGATCTCTTGGGACACTCTAAGCAGCACATGGGGAGGAGTGAGATTGGAAGGGATATTTGGGAGAGAAGACAAGAAGGACAATGTGAGGCAAGACACAGCCATGTAARTCCCTTGCTGAAGGTTTGAGCCTAGCTGAATGCTCCCAAGTAAGTCCTGGGAAACTTCTGAGAAACTGCAGGATGATATTCATGTCAGATCATCTGAGATAAGTCACTGATYGATCAGTGTCTGAACTATGATGTGAGCATCTATGTTTAGATGCCCATTTGATACTCTGAGCACTGGAAGGCTGAGCTTAGCCTAGAGCAGGGAAATTTGCCCTTTGCTGCTAGTGGGAATTAAAAGGGATATCTTCAATTTTATGTTCTCAAATCTATAGGTTTACTGCTGTAAGCAAATTTTTCAGTTTCGCTTTGTGCTTYTTAGAAAGGCATTTAAATGAAACACAGCTGCTGTTCCCCCAGGGCATCTCTGGATAGGTTACCCTGCTCTACCTCCACTGTCTCATTAAAACCAGAGGGTACAGCAAAGCCTCAGGATTGCCTGCCTGGCTCACATCCCTCAGCAGCCTCTCCTTCCAGTGCTCACATGTCTCCTGCTGGAATCCCACCAAACCCTGGGTCCACCAGCTGCCAATTGAAGCCCAGCACGGCTCCTGCTCTGACCTGGGTGTTGCCATTTCTTCTCTCCTGCATCTGTGGAAAAAGTAGGTTTGGTGTCCAAGCCAGGRGGAGTTGAACAGACTGAGCTCCACCAGGCTGGAGTACAAACCCAAATTGTGGTGTCTGGCTGGAAATCTGTAACCAAGCCTCTGTGTCACTGTGGAGAGTACCCYAGAGCATGGCTTCCCCTTCCCCATTTCTCACCCCTGCCTCATAATGCCCAGGACTGACGCAGCAACACCATTAGCTCCAGGCCACAACATTTTGGCAGTAAGGGCTGTGTGGAAGCCACCACTGGAACCCTTCTGATCCCAGGAGAGCTGGCTGGGACTCTTTAGCTGACTGCTTTCCTGCTTCCTGAGGTAGGAGCAGCATGTGCTAGCTGCACTGTGGCTCCCAGTCCACAGCAATGGGCAAGGAGTAGGAAGAAGTGAGGAARCCTCTGGGGAATTTGCTGTGGTGGGGAGATCCCCTTGGGGCAAGAGCTGTGGAAGCTGTGGAGTCTGATTCTTTAATTCAGACACAGTCTTGTGGAAGGTTGGTGCTTTCAAGAGACACCTTTGTGTCTGCACAGTGGATCTTGGTCCCTGCCCCTTGCTTCTCCCTGCGATGGGAGTGTGAGAGCATTGCTGCATCTCTGCACAGGCAACAAGCTACTGACATATTTCTGACCATGCTGAGGTGCCCTCATCTCCTCTTTGCCACTTCTATCCTCTCAGGCATCAAGAGAAATGTCTAAGCCACCGAGACCATGAGCCTGGAACCTCTGGTGGACGTGTTTTGCTGTCAGCCATCCCTGTCTGCCAGGGCAGAGCTAATAACTGRCAGTGACCGTGGTTTGACAGGTCAGGCTGTGGTGTGGAAAAGGAACCGGGGTAGCCACACAAAAGTGTGCAAATCTGGGGGTCCCAGGGTGTTCCTACTGCCTTGTGCACTTGGGGAAGATGTGAGCTCAGTCAGGATTACTTAGTAATGGAAGCACATACCCCATTCTTGAGACCATTTAAGGAAAATGTGAAGGSACCTAAGAAACAAGGTTGTGATTCATCACTCAGGGAAATACACTGTTGTGCCTTTCCTGGACCAGGATAAACATTCTTACACCCAGAGCTGGGAAAAAAAACCCAGGCCAGAAGCATTCACTGTCACTCACATGGTGATCTTTGCTGTGTCCTTGGTGCTGTTGCTGCTGAAACTGATCTCAATGCTGGTCACTCTGTTCCTTTTCTTCTGCAAGTGGAACTCAACCAGGCTGTGGTGGACTGAGCAAGAAGCAAAGAACATGGGAGTGAGGACAGGTACTTATGTGTAGGATCTACCTGTGCCAAAAGAGKGGCTCTAGGACTCATTCCCTGGCCCCAACAGCAGACTGCCTGGGCTCCTCAGAGGATCTGCTTCACTGGCCAACACCCTTCTGGCTCATTTTTCTCCCATACTACTTACCACAGAATGGGGCTGAAGGACTGGTCATTAAAAATACTTTCACTTCCTGGGGCAGCCTGCTCATGTTGACACCTGCCTGCTCCAGCAGGCCTGCAGGAGAAAATAAAGTCAGTGCAGGGAAAGCCATGAATGACAGAACAGAAATATAATSAGTCATCTCCTTTCACCCTGCCTGACTCCCCTGTCTCGGAGGACACATCCCTTTTCATACCAGTCCAAATCAGAGCAAGTACAAGTTTGTGGTGTCTGTTTGACAGGTTAAGGTTGCCTCAGAAAACCTACTCAGGCTACCCCAGGTAATCATCACCAGAGACCCTCTTGGTGGCTTTCTTTTTCATTCCTCTGCTAGCAAACTGTACTATCAGTTGCATCTGTGCAAAATTAGCAAGACTAAAGACTATTAAGTCAAGAACTTTGTGCAGATGTGAATGACAGTGCAAACACAAGGGAAATTGAATTCTTTGGCCAAATGAGAAAACCACCATAACTCATGACCTGCATCATTGACTAGCTGRCAATATGGCTTGGTGAGATGGGGAAGGGGTAGCTGTTCTGGGTGAACCTGTACCAAAAAAGGCCTCTCTTTATGCTCCTCTGGTACCATATGGCAAATAGAAGCAGAGGACACTTCCTTTCCTCATGCCACAGCCCAGTTTCAGAAGCCTAAAAGAGGCTTCTATTTTCTTTTCCCAATMCAGAGATTTCATCTTTGGGGTGACCATGGCAGATATTTATGAAAAGAAGRTGACTCAGCAACACTGAGTGCTGTGGAAGAATGGGACTTCAGGCTTGAAGTACAATTTCCAGCTGCTTTTCTAAACAAGACTTTTTTTTTCAGTTGATTGTCCACTGATTCTGGCACGTGATTCTGGAAATCATCTTTCAACAATATCTGGGCCATACAAAATCTTTAAAGATCAGAAATGTTCAAGATTTTGGTGTGACACCTTGGGCAATATATGAGCTTCTATAATGTATCTATAAGAGCCTGAAAATGAAACAGCTTCTGGCGTCCCCCAAAGAGATCCAAAGGAAATCCTGCTCAGAGAAACCTGGACTGCACCCTGTGCTCTGCACTGACCATCAGGAATGTATTGCCATCTGCTTGGGGAAGGTTTTGTGCTGGTACTGTACCTATTCTGGGACAGGAGGACAGGAAGGGYTCTGCACAGTCCAGGCAGTGACCATCTAAAAAATCTTGATGACTTGCACAGGGGAAGCCCACGATGGGACAGGGATGGTTCAAGGCRCTGATGTAAAGATGCACCGCCCGCATGTGATCGCAGATCAGGAAGTTATAGCCTGCAAGGAAAAAAATGAACCAGAGAAAAACAACCATGAGCCTTCCTGTTGGCTTCAGTCTTTTTGCACATTCCCAAGGAATTGGGAATCAAGGAATGCTCTTACTGCGGTGATCACCGTCCCATTGATAACATTCTGCAGGGYATTTCTGTGACTGTGAGCTCAGGTCCCACTGCAAGACAAGTTGTGCAGGAAGTCAGAAATGTGTCTCYCAGACTAACAGAGTCCCTTAGAAGAGGAGCACCACAGGGCTGCCACGTTTCCATYGGTGTCCCTGAGCACTCTGTAAGGGGGTGCAGCAGCTTTGATTCCCACTGGCACTGGAACCCCAGCTGTGGGAAAGTGAGGTCCGATAGGAATCTCTTGTAACCTGACCCTCAAAGCAGCTGACTCATACAGATCATATTTGAATGTGAATGAGTCCACACTGTTAATGAGGACTGTGGAAAGTCTATTCTCTAGAAGAAAAAGACAATAGTTGTACAAACCATCTCTCAAAGTTGATAGAACTTGCAGCATGAAAACAAAAAACAGCTTTTGCTACTGGCACCTGAGAACCTTCCTAGCAAAAGTGTCATGTCTACTGATACTGGAGTTTTGTATTATAGAGAAGCATCATCAAAATCACATCTCTTGACAGTGATGCTGCCAAGATACTTGATCTGTATATGATTTTAATTTCAGCTGCTTCTTGTACTGTTGAGATGCGGGCTGTTAATGMATGTTTGTCTCAATTTTCTCTACAGCTTTGCTGTCTGCCCAGGCTGTAGCAGGAGCTGCTCACCAGACAGCATTTGCACAGTCTGCTAAACTGCCATGAAAGCCCTTTGCTTGGCCAGAGAGTTTTCTTACCTCCAGAGATGAATCGGGGGCATCCTGGCTGATCTTTGCCTCCATTGACAAAATAATCGATGTGGCCTACAGGAATCCGGATCCCAAAATCTGAAAGGAGGTGAAATGCCTCAATAATTGGTTGAGCATTAGTAGCACTGGAGCCAGCCCCAATGCTGGAGACATCAAGGCCAGGTTTCCTGCTTCTACATGCCTGCATTGTGTAGGTTTGATGCATGGAGCAGATCCTGCCATCAAAATGGGAACTGTGGCTTAACCACCACCTCAGTGGCTCCAGTTCTTGATTCTATGTAAAGGAGAACAAGCTGACCACAGCCTTATTGTGGGATTATGAAGCATAATTGAGAGTTGTGTCGGTGGARGATTCTCGTGATCTCCAGGCAAAAGGTGTGACTCAAAGACTGTAATTCTTAGCACAGTTCTGTCTATGTAGATCCTAAGTGCTTTGGAGAAGTTACTCTGTTGTTGCACCAGCTGTTGGTTTGACTCTGTTACTTTCTCGGTGGTGCCTTCCTCAAATCAGGAAGGAGTAAACAAAGTGAGACTAGACCTATAAACTCCTTTCAGGCAGTAAAAGTCATGCCAAACAGGTTCTGCATAAACTCACTCTGCTGTAGCAATCTCCACCTGTCTGTTGTCTGMAGTGCTCTGGGGCATGAATTCATCATCAAAGCCTTTCTTAACAAGAAGCTTCCTCAGAGTGAACCTGAACTCATGGTAGTTTGGCAAGAAGGGACAATAACCTACAGACTCCTTAGCAATAGTGACATCAGGAGGAGCAGAAACCCAGGTAGAGGAGGAGAGATGCCAGCTTACTGTCAGCATCAGTATGAATGGCTTCCACAAAGAGGGCATCCCCRGGATCCAGGCGTTCCTCAAGGCTGGCTCTGGTGTACTTAGGACCTGCAGGATCCAGGGCTGTAACAAAATMAAACACCTCAGCAACAAGTAMTTTTYAGCCTCTSTCTTTCTTGTTTCCAGACCAGTTAKTTTATCTGAAACTTTAAAAATATTGCTAGGCAGAAATAATAAATGATTTCCAGGTCTCCATGATTATGCTCCAGAATAGTTTCTGCCAGTGCCAGCTTCCACTGGAGCTTCCTTGAATTGTCCTCCACTGTTCCACACCCTTTTAGCAGTGTTTTAACTCAAGGTTCTAGGCTGTAAAGCCAAGACTGAGTTTTTAATAGCTGACACAGTGGGTACATAGTGTCTCTTGGACTTTTGGTGAAAAAGAATCAAACTTTTAATGCCTTCCCTAATTGCACCATCATCTGTATTAGCCCTACAGTCTGAAAAATGTCACTAGATATTAGCAGTGAGGTGGTGAATTCAGTATCCCAGGCATTARCCAGCTCAGGAATTACAAAAGTTTCATACTATCTAACAATTTTAAAACAAAGAGGTTTCTGAGCCCTCTCCCCACAAATAAGATTGAGTATTTGGCAATCATGTACATTTTTGACCCAAAACTTGCTCCTAGAGCAACTGTTGGGGAGTCTGAGGAACACAGCAAAGTTATTCTTGGCAATACCAAGCAGCCAATTAAAGAGAATTTTTTTTTCTGAGATTTATCCTGTTCCCATTTTATACAGAAGTAATATCACAAGACTTTTTTTKCACTCTCCAGGCAACAGTAGTTTAGGAAGCAGGTCTGCTTCACATGCCCCTTAGCCTTGGAGCTGGCTGGTCTCACTCTTTTGGACTCAATCCTATTAATTCTCTATGGAGAAGGCAATATCAACAATATACAAATGGATGTGTCTGCTTTTGTGAGGGGGAAGGAAAGGAGGAAAAGGAAAACAAGGAAAAAAACCTTTCCTATTCTTTCTATAAATAAAAGCTAAAAATGCGACCTTAATGTCCTTTATGTACAAAAAGCTGAGAGGTTCCCCACTCACTTCTACAGACTCAGTTGTAGCTAGAAGTTTTAAAAGATACTGAAAATTGTTATTGGGTGTGGCCTAAAGCTTTTCCTGAGGAGACAGAAACCTAACATGAACAGCAGTCWGTTTTAGCACTTCTCCAAGGCAAGCACCTTTCTATTCTGTCTTTCCTACCCTTCCTTCTCCCAGCACAAGCTGCACAAACTCCAGTGAGATGTTCATCTTTGGCAGCTAAGGACGCTATTCACTGGAGCTCTACAAGTGTGCAAGTGAATTCTTTCGGGGTTTTTTCATTTCCTCTGGGGAAATTGAAACAAAGTGTTCGATTTTGGCAAGGGACCTGTTTATTCCAGTTCCTTTCCTGCACAGGGAGATATCTAATGACACAGGCACGGATTGAAGAAAACTCGCTTTGCAAAAATGAAGTCTGTGCTCTGATCTCCAAGCCTCACTCTGATTTTGCTCCACACAGCTCTTCTGAGGCGACTGAAAGCACTCCAGCAAATATGTAATTGTATCACACGTGTGTGAGAAGGCAGGAGATGAGATCAGRCATATTTTAAATCTAATCCAACCTGTCTTCAGGCTCCTAAATCTGAACTGGAGTCTGCAATGCTCAGTGAGCCTGTGAAAACATAGCATAAACAGGAATGTGAAAAAGGGATTGTAGTCTAGCAGAGTTTAAAAYTGAAAGAACAAATCTACAGAGCTTCTTTTACATGTGGACAACATAAAGGGGAAGGATTTTTAACACTGGAGTTTATTACCATGGTTTCTGCTTCTGYTTGYCTGAAGACATCASTGGCTACTCCAATCTTYTCCTAATGTAAACTTTGATTCACAGCTTAAAAAAGGGCCCAACAAGAAATTGAGCTCCTGTTGAGAAATGCCTGTATTTTGTGCGGTGTGGGTAGCTGTGACATGTGAAGACTGAATCAGCTTTTTTTGTTCCTCTGAGACCCTTCCTGAGGATCCCTCTGTGAGACAGAGCAGCGGGGGTTGAGGCAGACTGGAAGCTGAGGCCTCACTACTGGGTACTTTATGTCTGTTCCTTCTTGGTGGCATTCCYCTACTATCAAAATGAATCTCTGTCACTGGGGATTCCCAGAATTCAGTGAAACCCTTGGCAATCTGATATGGCTCACAATGCAGCCCTGCTTTGAGGAGGGGTGATGGTGGTGGTGGTGTGGGGACTAGAGACCTCCCTAGGTCTCCTTCTACCTGAATAGTTCTGTGACTCTATTCAGGCTCCACGCCTAAAGGCTGACAAAGTCCTGAGTGCACCAAACACTGTAAATGACAGAATCAGCCTATAACCATCCTGATCTATAATTCCCCCACTGGAACCTCTTCCTTGCACCCTGGAGTGTAACTCTCTGTTTTTAAGGTCAGCTTTGATTTGATACAGCTTTAGACCAGCCTACTGTGAAAAGAGCCAACTGTGAAAACAGCCACTTGTGGGAAGAGCAGCAAGAAGCCTCATCTGAGCCCTCCCAGCACTGGCTCATCTCTTGCCTTTGTTCTTTGCCTGAGCTGTGTGGTAGAGATGCCATCCCTGCCCTGTATCTTGTTGGTCCTTTTATCTTGCTGGACTTGACCTCCCAGCATGACCTTGGGTTTGTGTTCTCCTTGAAACCTTGCCTGGTGATCAATGGACTGTGGATGACCGTGGTTCCCATCACTGAACCTGCTCTGCTCTTCTTTCCCAGACACAGTGGGACACCTCACTGTGCCCTTGGCTCTCAGCTCACATTTTCCTGCAGAGCAGCTCACTCTTGCTGCTCCCGTCACAACTGCCTTGTGGGTTTTAATTCTAAGAACYGCATGTACCCGCTAAATTTGGAAGCAAAGCTTGTGGGTGTTGTGTCTTTTCATTGGTCATGAGGTCTCTTATTTTTCTAAGTTGGCACCAATTTGAAGAGGATAGCAGAGGAGGAAGGACCTTTCCACAAATACTTGTGTTCCTTTTGCAGCATGGAGGGGACTGATGGCTGGAAAGGCGCTGTCAGAATTTAGGAAGAAGCCCATAAACTTGGATCTAATGAGCCCTCATGAAATGAAAATACCATTCTGAATGACTCCCCTTTCTTGCTCTTTCATTGTSTCTCTTGGAGAGCAGGTGAGGACCCCAGAGCCAGTTTGATGGTACCTGTTATCCGTCCCAGGTGACCACCATGGAAGTGCCCCACMAGGCCCGCGACGTGCGCTCCGAGGCTCACCCCGATGATGTGGATTGATGTCCCTGAGACTCCCAGGGCCTGCAGGTTGACAGCAATACAAATTAATGTTTCTGTAGTGTGGAGGAAAAGGGCCCCACAAGCCCTGATTCTGAAACCCAGCCAATTATTGTGTACGACTGAAACCTGAGAAAAGAAAGAGATGTTAACTGCCCACATGGAGAAAGAATGCTACATCCTTGAAAAAAGCAGATTAAAATACAGAATTAATAACACAAGTGACTAAAATTATAAGCATTACTAATACTACAGCTTTTGCAAACTCACCAATTATGTTCTGATTACTAATTAAACAGCTGTCTCTTAACCAATGTATGTTTAACGCAAATATATACTCTAGTTGCTAAAGTAGATAAAAAAAACTTATCCCATAATAAAATCCTTCTTTCTTTCTGTTTTTTCACCCACTTTTTGTGTGTTTTATATCTAGTCTTTTCTGTCGCTGTTTGGCCAGCAGCGACACTGTAGCAGGAAGGTGAAATACCCTGCTCCAGCCCACACAGGATTGCTTTTGAAATGTACAYTGGAAAACCAAACAGTTAAGGGAATGAAGGGCACTGCCCTTTCTGGTTTTCAGAGCTTTTCTTTAGGTCCCCAGATGCAAACCCATCTCTAAACACTGCAAACATTTCATGGAGAGTTTGCATGTATCTGGTCAACACAAAGATTCCTCACCCTGGTTGCAGAAGTCTTGTTCAGCTGTGCTTTGCATGAACAAACTGGGTGGGACACATCTGAGTGTTTCCAGATACTGGGAGATATATCTGAATCCCAGTGCAAATATAATCCAGTCTCAAATCTCAATCCCTCCAGCTTCCTCAAAAAAATTTCTGAGTAGAAGAAGACTGGCCAGTGAATACGGATCTGAGAAAACCCAAGGGGCGGCTTCAGGTTTGCCCTGAGCTGGAGAGGCAGCTGACAACTGGGATTTTTTCCAGAAAAACATCAGAACTGAAAAGAAAAAAAGAAAAATGATGGCATGCTCAAGTCTAGTCTGAAAGAGAGGGAAAAAGGAAAAATCTGGAATAAAAAGTCTACTTGTCCAGCTCCTGGTTGCAACAATTTGGGAGCAGTTCTCTGGCCGTGCAGAGTAGCTTACCAGGAGCTTGCTGATGAATTGTGAGATGGCCAGGGCCAGCTGTGTGACATTTTCCACCGCAGAGGGATAGGCTCCTGTAGACCCATAAACCCAGTCCACTGCAATCACATTCACCTGGCTGGTGTGCAGTATGGCTTGGACAAGCCCTTCAATCCAGGAAGGTTTGGTACCCAAAGCCCTGTGGAGTCAGCAGAAACAGGAATGTTAGATGCTCCCCTAGCAGGGCATGTGCCAGCGAGTTGTTCACTGGTGCTGGAGCTTCACATGTCTCAGAGGAGGCTGCCAGACGCTCACTAAGAGTTATGTCACACACACCTGGAATTTCTGCAATGATTCAGGAGGGAATCAGATATTTTAATGAACGAGATAACATTTGCAGGGCTCAGGCTGAGATCTGTCTTGCTGTGCTGATTCATTCAGCCACCACAGAGCCCACCTGGAGTAAGTGAGCTGACTGGAAAAAACACCTGGATCCTTCTCTGCTGTCAACTGGCAGGAAGTCCTTGGCCAGATCACCTGAAAAATTTCCTTATCTCTAGACAACTAAAAAAAAAGTAATCTATACCCAAGAATTCAGAGGAGGCTCATTTCTAACCAGTTTCCCTAATGCYACCTGATGAAGAGTGTGCTGTGTCACTTGAAGGTGACAGCTTTTTTTCTGAGAAGACCCTGCAACATCTGCTGTGACTTCATCCTGGTCTTCTATGCACTTTCTATTCAAGCTTTTGCACTTCAAAACAAATAATGTTATATGGTTCCACCTGACTGAAAAATGGCACATAAGCTTGCAGAATGATGGCAGTTTAAAAAAAAACAAAAAAACAAAAAAACAAAACATCTCCAATCCCTCCACTCTCAAAAACAGAAGGATGAAGGATAATGTCTGTTGCGGGTTCTAAATGGATCATTAATCCAGGCTATTTGGCATAGAATTCAAGAAGACAATTTAAAGGGACAAGAATCTTAAAGAAAAGACTTCTTAACTA